CATATGTGTGTGTGAGAGTGTGTGTGAGTGTGTGTGAGTGTGTGTGAGTGTGTGTGTGTGTGTGTGTGTGTATGTGTGTGTGTGTGTGTGTGAGTGTGTGTCTGTGTCTGTGTAATAAACGACGCTATTGTATAAAATTTACGCCTGCATTTAACTTCAGCGTCCTGCCTTTTAGCGGAAATAGAATGTACTGTGAGGTTTGAGATCGCAAAATTGAAACAACGAACACCCACCCCCGCAATAATAAAAGAAAAGAAAAACTACAAACTCCGCACTTACCGGAGTTCATAGAGCACTTGTTTATCTCGGTCGTACAGCTTCAGTTTCCTCCTCAGGTTGTTCACCTCCAGAACGAGCACTTTGACGTCATTCTCCTTATTCAGAAAAGCTGCGTGGCCGTGCTGTAGTCTTTTCTCCAAGGCACGGACCCGCTCCTGGAGAAGGTCTTGCTCCACTTTCCGCTGGGCGGCCATGGCGCCGAACAGATCTCGTTCCTTGCGAATCTGAGATTTTGATTGAGTAGGCAGAGGCGAAGCGTCTATATAATCAAATAATCACTGCTTCCCTTCCTAATTTTGAAACATTGTCGCAGTCAAATTCACCCATAGAGGTAAACCTCATAAATTAAATGTAAAAAGACGTTCATAATCACCAATGAACAATAGACTATGCCTAACCTTCAAACCGTTTCATTGCCACAGAAATAGCGTGTTCGCCCCTATCGGGCCACTCCATAAGCAGTCACAAGCTTTGATTAAGTAAGCTTAAAGTGAGGCTGGAAGAGTCAACCAATGGATTTGAAGGGAACATGTGCATAGCAGTCAGAACTGTTTCATTGTTACATATACCTTGTTCACCCCTTTCGGGCCACAGTTATAAGCACCCAGACGCGCTGATTATCTAAGCGAACTATTACACTGGTCGAGTCTACCTCACAGATGTGAGGGGAACTAACTCCTAATAATCCTTTGACTCCTGCTACTACACTGCTAGTGCTTGTTTTTTTCCTCGACTTTTTAACGTCCTATAATCAGATCGTGACCTCGATTATGACAGCGGCTCCTGGCCGCGAAAAGCTAGACAAAAAACAGCCAAATGTGAAATAAAAAATTAATAGTTGGCGTGCTCTACCAAAGTGTTTCGGCTGTCTGGTATAACATGCCATTGTAGTGCTGACGTCTGTGCTTCTTTCCTTGGTGTTCGTGTGTTCAAATCTAAAGTTAAATTTAAGGTTAATTAGAATAAATATTTAATTAAATACTTTCCCGATTATTTTAGCGGTTGAACAAGCATACAACATGAATTCAGGATTTATTTTCATTCACAACTCAGAGTTGCCGCCTCCAGTGCCAGTAAGATTCTTGTGACTTGTGTGAGCGTGATATCTACAGGCCCTATCTGGTCCCATTTCACTTTGATTATCCTGTAAAACAAGTCAGCCTTCGCCCCTGTGAGTAGGTGTTTTACGGCGAATCTGAGAGAACCAAGCCAAACCAGGCAAAGTTCGGAGACTATACAGAGTTGTCGGGGTGTGTATGTGTGAGTGTGTGTGTGTGGGGGGGGGGGGGGGCGTAAGCATCCTGTTTGGTTTTGTAACTGTGCTCAAACAGAGTGACTTGCTGTAAGGTAAAATTACTGTTGATTTTTTTGTGGGAGGGGGGTAGGCTATTGTGTTTCATTTTCTGTTTGTTTGTATGTTTGTATGTTTGTATGTTTGTTGTTTTCGAGGGTGCTTGGGGGGGAGGCGGTTTTTTGCTTAGGTACGTGCGCGTGCGTGTGTTTGTGTGCATGCGCGCGTGAGTTAGTATGTTTTATAAGTGCATTATTTACAGTTGCAAGCCCCCGTTAGCACAAAAAATAGATGATTTAGGAAGCGGCATGTAGATTTCTAAAAACGTTCCAGCAGACAGACGGAGATAATTGATAACATATTGCCCACTCGGGAATAAAACTCATGTGTATGTCTTCTGCGACCGAAGATGAAGCGTGGAATTGCTACATCACAAATACCGTGTATGTCCGTGCGTGTGTGTGTGTGTGTGTGTGTGTGTGTGTGTGTGTGTGTGTGTGTGTGTGTGTGTGTGTGAGTGTGTGTGTGTGTGTTTGTTTTATTAAGCGGGGTTCATTTGCACTGGTCAGATTAGTTATGAGATGCCTCACCTTCTTTTTACTCAAACAACATGAGGCCTTTTCAAAAATGCACAAAGCGCTTGGTGCATTGCTAAGCATTCATCCAAAACCGGGAGAAATGTCCTAACGTTAATTAAGTCTTTTATTACCTAGTTACACCATCGGCAGTATGCCTGTGTTTCGCGCATTCTGACACGAAGTGATAAAACAGTGGCACAAAAAGAATGAAGGTAGAGCATTTTTCTCAAAGTTCAAAGATACAACTCCCAAGATACACAATGTAAAAGCCCTGCCGATCCGAGAATCGAACTCACGATCTCACGACTGAGAGTCTATCGTCTCCTCTACTAGATTGTACGCTGACAAAACGCCCTTTCGTTTTTCACAGCAGATTCGAGAAATCAACGATTTTCGGTTTTCTTATATATAAACTATTTTGCACAGTGCGTCAACGGCTGATCTCAAACCTTGAAGAGAATGTCATTCCCTATGCTCAACGAATATTTAAAAAAAAACCCAAAAAAACACCGAAAATCGGTGATTTCTTGAAACTGCTGTGAATAAGAAAAAGGCGCTTTGTCAGCGGACAGCAGTTGTCTTTTCCTCACCCGTTCCTTCCTGAGAGTTTCGATCCGCAGGTCCTCCATGGTGCATTTGAGAATACTCTGCATGCTGAACAACTGATTTTTCGCGGTGTCCATTTCCTCTCGTACTTCGCTCACTCTGTCGGACAGCTTGAGGAGTTCTTTCCCTTTCGATGCCAACCTGTCCACATGGTCGCTCTCTTTGAGCTGCAGAGACTGAACACAGCACGGGAAAGGGTTAGTTAGGTCTTTACCAAATGACGCCAACAGTAATTATAACAGCGACAGCAAATTTACAACAATGTCATGACAACAATGACAATGACAATGACAGCAGCAGCAGCAGCAGCAGCATAATCATCAAAAGCAACAGTATAGATAGATAGATAGATAGATAGATAGATAGATAGATAGATAGATAGATAGATAGATAGATAGATAGATAGATAGATAGATA